TTCTGGTGCTGCTGTCACTTACCTATGCTGTTTGTGTATCTCTTCAACTTTTTCATACAGAGTTTCGGATGGCACCGGGGCTAAACGGTAACTTCGCAGAAAATCGATGTACTGCAGAGATGGCTCATAGTCGCCGTGTACTGACTGCGCAACATATGAACCCAATAAGGCATATGTGGCTAGCGTTGCAGGGAGTCTGAAAATACGGGAAAAAAATGAAATATGTGCAAATAAAAAATGTTTAAAATTTTTAGAATTCTTGAAAAATATGCGAGGACTAACCTGCCGGTAGAAATGTCACGTCGAAGTTGCAGAGTTAAAAGATGACGTGTAATATCGTCGTTCAGTGTAGCCGGGTCCGGTGGATAAAATTTCACTTCAAAATTGAAATCCCACGGGTGACATGAAAAAAAAAGCAGATAAGTCGTCACATCGTCATAAACAGCTTAAAAAACCATTTTTTTTAAAAAAAGCGCTAAATCTCCTGGTCTGTAAGATACGTTATCGTAGCTTAGATGCAATAGAAATAACGTCCCCAATACGCCAAGGACGGCACGGCTAAAACCTTGTCAAGTGCTGCCGGTGGAAGAACCGCTGAACCGGGTAATCCCATCAGGAGACGAGTCGAAGCTGTCAGGATTGCCAGAAGACTGCCAATGGTCAAAGCAACCAAAAAAAGTGCTAAACCCACAGCTGCCGAACGAGAAAACAAATTAACAGCGTTTTCAAAAAGTGCTCCAAGTAAAGCAGTGAATATGAAATTATGCAAATTTCGTATCAGTTAAACACTATTGCTATAAATCTCAGCTAACCGCTCTTTTTGAAATGTAACTGAACTAATACTAAAAAGCACTTAACGCCTGCAACTACTGATAATACATCATCTGTAATCTAGCGCTTTATTAATGCCTTATCAACTTCTTATCAGCAGTTCTACTGGGCTTTACCGCACACATAAACTGAACATTTTATGGAGTTATGAAAAAGGTTATAACTCAAAGGAAAGTAATAATTAAAATTAAAAGCAAAAACTGAATTGGAATTTTTCGATCCATTAAACCGTAAAAAACTGATTCTGCTAAAAAATGACACAAAAGCTACCAAAAAAACGAAACATGAATTCGCTTGCAGAAACACAGGAAGGCGAAATTTTGACGAATAGCGCTTATGACACACTACTACACATTATGGAATATGAAAATGACAGATATCTCAGAAAAACGATCAACCTGTCAAAGTGATTTATTTCGCAGAACCAAAATGCGCGACTAATAATCGCCCAAGCCTGATGAATTTCGCAAGGATTAAGATAACGCCATATTGCCCCTTCCCCACTAATCCGCCTGCCTTCCCTCCTTTTTACTCCCTCTTCGGAGGATGTTACATAACACTGTTGAAAACTGGCAATAACTAAATGAAAAATTATAACTTATAAAACCCAATATGAACAAAAAAAAACGTGAAGTACCTTTTAACTGTTTGGTGATTCGCTTATCCTCGTATATCCAGTGCTGAAAAAAAAAATAATATCACTGCAGCTGTTAGAAAAAAAGTCAAACTTCTTCACATCCGCCCTCCATGTAAGGTTGAGAGGATTGAAATCAGCCTACTGGAAGGCAGCAATCACCTGCTGGCAGAATTTTCAGTGGCTCACCTCCTTTCGAAAGTAACTCAGAAACAAGCTGACGATGGTTCCGACTCGCTGGTATACGCCAGTAACAATTCACCATCGAAACGAATTGTGGTAGAAAAGCTGGTTATCCCCACCGGTATAAGAGGGAAGGGGTTGGAAAGCGGGTGGG